CATATTATATTATATTATGTTATATTATATTATATTATATAAAATTCATATAGTTTTGTACTGAAGGACGGACAGGCAAGAGAGGTGGTGTTGGGGTGATGGGTTGGACAGATGGAAAAAAGAATACACAGTCTACCAAACTGCAAGTGTTTTTAAAGAGTTTTTTTTGGAATAAATGAATGATTTATCATTTGCATTATGTCTGCTCTGTTGCGCAACCAAAATAACAGAAACAACAGTAACAACAAAAAGAGTGAACCAAAGAAGAAAATTTGAAGAAAATTTGAGGAAGGGAAAAAGTGGTATTATTTGATTTTTAGAAATCAAACATTTACCGAATAAAAGTTGCACAGCGTATTTGATGTCAGGAAGTGAGAATCGTATTGTCTTTACCGTTTTTATTTTGAATTATCTTAATGAAAGTGCACATAGAATGGCGAATCTTGTTTGCTTTCTTTTTAATTTTGTTTTAATTATTCGCTTATTTGCTCTTTGTTGTATCGGTTATTTTTACTGTGTTCATGAAGTTTTTGAAGGAAAAATTGCTGTTCTATTTTATACTGAACTTGCTGTTGATAGCTCACAAAAATTATTTTTACCTTTGCTAAATTTTACAAATTTTGTAGCTATTTTTTTGTTTTACAGCACTTTTTTCTGCCTCTACTTTCTGCCTCTAACGACGGCGAAACATTGCGGTGACACAGAATGGTGGAAGATTTAGCGGTACGTAAGCCAATAGCTCTTGTTTGGAATTTTCGATCGCTATTTAAACTTATTATAAAAAAAAGTTTTTCTCCTTGTTTTTGCTTTTTCAAATTAATGAAATTAACATTCTGCTTGTACAAGTAGAAAGAATTTAAAACTGTTTGGTGTTATGCAGCGGAAATGACATTTGCAATATTCTTCAAACATTTTCTTTGTTTTGATTTTTTTTGAGTGAACTTTTCAAACTTTTTTTTTGCAGAAGATTTCGGTCCAAACGCCAAAATGCGGTTTTTTACATGTTTATATCCAGGGTGATTTGGAGGATCGGAATGGAAAAACGTTTATTTTGACTGTACACGATGTTGGCACCAACTGTTAGTTGTTATCTTTTGATAATTTGTTATAAAACCATTTTTTTTCCGATTTTCAAAGAAACATTAAGAGTTGACTTAAGACCTGAAGTTTTACTAATATGATATCAGCCTCAGTTAGCACCAAGAAGTATAGAGCAATCATTGATCACCATTTGAACACCAATACAGCTACAGCAGGCGCATGACGTTGGAAGATGTTTATGAATTAGAAGTCAAAATTGCTAAATGGCTAGATCAGTTGAATACAGCTCTTTAAAAGAGCCAAGTGTTAGGGTAATAGAACCTAGTTTTCTTCTTCTTCTGCAAACTTTTTGATGTAGTACGGTAACAAATTTTTTGGTATTTTTTAAAGGTTAAATAGGAAAAGCGTTGTTTCTAAACCTTTTCTATCTAGGTGGAACACCAGGTTTACAGCAATTGATATATTACAGATAAAGCGTTTGTACGGTTTTGTAACCATCCTTCAATGGCTGATGTCAAGGCAAAATCTATCATTCTTCATGTCTGCATGCCTGGTCAGGAAGATAACGCTTCGGATTTCGTTGGCGAGTAAGTATACCCTTCAGTTTTTTATACTTTTTCTTTTTTTTTTCACTTTTAGTTTTTCTTAGCAGTACTACAGTTAGGCTTACGTTGAGTTATAATCGGAGCTTCATTGGAAGTGATGTTTCCCAATTAAAAGTGGTCATAAATATTTTATTCACACCTGCATTAATTTATAGAAATCAGTCTTATAACTCTCTTTTTTAAAAGGTGAACATTACTTGGTAAAAAAAAGTAGGAAAGAAAAGAAAGCTAATGATTTTGTTCTAAAAATATACCTTTTTCCTTTTTGTCCTTTTTCTGATCACATTTAACAGCGTGTGATAATAGCGTTATAGTACCAATTGGAATAGTGCGGTTAAAGAGGACTTTCCTTATCAGTAGTTTTTTTTTTCTTTTTTTTCAAATGGGGGGAGGGGGATAAAATAGAAATTTATTTTTTCAACTGATGATATTTTTGATGAGCAAACTAAATCTTTCTTTCATTTTAAGGTATCTACATATGAAGTTAGTTTGAAGTAAAAGTTATTAATTTGCGGAATATGTACGGGAATGTGTTATTATTTGAATTCTTATATAGGTCAGTCAATTTTTGCGAAATTTCGTAGGCTTTTTTGAACAGAAAACATGAAAATATGGTTACAGATCCAGACATAAAGACGCATAATCTTCGGTTTACTGGTCAGACAAAAAAAATTAACACAAGAGAAGTGTGATTTCTGCAGTCATCGAGTTGCTGTAGAAGTTAAATAGCTGAAGGAAAGTAGTTAGTTTGCTCCGTTTAGGGAACAAAAGTTAAAGATAAATTTGGAAAGTCTTACTACCTATATTAACCAGATATGATTGACGTTAAAAATTGAGTTGTCAGTAGTACTGCAAACGAAAGGACTATATAGTTTGGTCAACTGGCAAACAGTTTTTAAGGTTTCCAACACTGACGCAGTTGGGTGAAGACCTCGTTTGCGTACTGGACAAGTTGGATATCAAAACATGTATTGCATTTGGCGAAGGTGCTGGTGCTAATATTATTTGTCGCTTTGCTGTAAGCTTTTTTTTCAATTTTTTCTTTATTTTTGCTCTTAAAACTTATTTATTTGCATTATCTTAATGGTCTGCAAAAATGTTAATATAATTACTGATTAAAAACCGCTTTAATCTAAACAAACACGTGATTTCAGATAGCTTCCCCAAATCGTATAATGGGTATTTGCCTTGTACATTGTACAGCAACTACAGCTGGTTTGATTGAGTACTGCAAAGATAAGGTTTGTTTCTTTAAAATCTTATAGTTTCAACCTGTGAGCAGGTTCTTCTTTGAAAGAAATAAGTTACTGCTTTTTACTGCAACAAATTCTTATTTCAGTTGATAAACATGCGTTTGGAATCTGGGGTCATGTCGCAAGGTGCATGGGATTATTTAGCAGTACATAAATTTGGATCTGTTAGTATTTTAATGATCTTGTTAAAAAGAATGAAAACTTACCTTTTCTGTTGTTCAATTTATTTCACTTGTCTCTCAGTATTTTCAAAGTTTGCTTTGTTTTTTTTTTCTTTCTTTTTTTCCATTAAGTGATTAAGCATATGGTGGGTGTATGATGAAGTTGTCAGTTAAAAACATGACTGTTTAGTTAATTTTCCAGAGCGATAAAAAGGAGAAGCAGGCATATATTGAAGAATTGAAATGCTGCTTGAATCCAAAAAATTTGAGCAAATATTTATACAGTTTTTGTAAAAGAAGTGATATTTCTTCACAGCTGGGCAAAAAGCTTGAAAAGTAAGTTTTTATTTGAAGTTGCGGAAAAGTAAATTTTTATTAACTAGCAGTTGTAAAAAAAAATTTAGAAATATTCATCGATTTTTTATTTGATGTTAGTGATGGTTATGGCTTTGCAAGCAATAAAATGCAAATTTAAATAAATAGTTATCAATTATACCTTGAATTTTCAGATGCTTTTTAATCGTGATTTCTTTCCATTTGTTTATTAAGCAACATCTGATTTCCTTATGCGCAATTAAAAAATTAATTCCGAAATACTTAGAAAAATATCAAATTTAGTCGGTCATAAAAAATGCGACACTGATTATTAATATTAGATGTAGGAGTAAACATAAATTATGCATAAATGCTCTTAATGCTTTGAATCGGTTTTGGTAATATTATTACTATTTCTAGTAATGGCGTCAGCCGAGAATTGAACTAGGGGGGTGAAGTCTTAAATTGCACAACAAACAAAGATGTTTAAAAATTTAATAAATTTGTGTCAGCACTGTCATTACGAGTAAAAACTTGTTCCCGTTACAGCATGGATGTTTTACTGGTTACGGGAGCGAAGGCTTCACATCTTCATACCGTGTATACTACGCATAAGTCGATGAACAGAAGGAAAACTACGTTGTTGGTAGTGGATAATGTAGCCGATGTAATGGCTGAAGCTGTAAGCGATTTAATTTGTATCTTACTCACTTAACTGCACTTTTTTTTTACAGCGAATTACTTACTTATGTTTTCTTGATTTTAGCCAGAAAAGCTGGCCAGATCATTGATACTGTTATGTAAAGGTTGTGGAGTCCTTTCTGGTGTTCCAGTTCCAGGTATGGAAAGGCAGCGTACACTTAGCAGGTATTTTCTCACCTTACATTTTTTCCAGCGGTATTAACCACTAAAATTTGCTGACCATAGAAGAGGTCGTTTTTGCGTGTGTTCTGATATCTTGTTAAAGTTAAATTGCACAGCTAGCTGATCTGGCAATCTGTTTGTTTTCTGAGCTACCAGACAAACATCTGAGCTACCAGACAAAGATGAAAGTCAAACAGATTCATCGCTCTTTAAACGTGCTTTAAAAAAATACAACTGATTAAACTCAAAAAAAAAAATTTTTTTTAACAACTAAGAGATTTTAAACTATGTTCGTACTTTCCAAAAATAAATTATGGTAATGGAGCAGGGAGTGAGAGAAGGCAAAAACAAACACATCGTTGTCATTAATCTATATGCGCAACCAGAGTAAATAAGTAAGATATGTTGATAAACATAAAATTGGAGCTAATCCATCTGATGCATTTGCAACTGATGTTTACTGTAGTTTTGTTGAGGGTTGAACAGTTCCATCCAATTAAACACATATGATATATCCAATAATTTTAACTGTTTGTTACTGTTCGATCGCCATTTAGCACAGATATATTTGCACTCTTAAAACTGGAGGCAGTAACAACAGCACACTAATCAGCATTGTTTCAGTTCTATGGAAGAAGCTGATCGGCCACGACGCCTTTCAATGACCCAGCCAACAGCTCCGTCTATTCAGTAGAGTATCAGCAACCACAAATTTATGCGAAAAAGACAAAAATGAGATGGGAAAGTCGAGAAAAAAATTTTTGAAAAAATTGGCTGATGCGTTCACAATTTTACAGTTACATAATCAACAAACTGGAAACCTGGGATTGAGCAGTTTAAATGTGTTGCTTGGCAGTGGCAAAGATGTTTTTTCATTCTTTCTTGTTGGTGACTAATGTGTTTCGAATTTTGTTGCATTAAACTAGTTCGTAATTTCTTCCTTCATCAACTCTGTTGAGGCCTTCCAGATTAAAGTCGATTATGCCCTTCTAATTTTTTTTCAAGCATTCTCTTGTTGTTCAACCTTCCATATCGCTTCCTTCTTTTTGATAGTCTAATTTTTTCGTTCTTATCTTTGTTAAGTAACAGTGCTGTTAGGGTTGTTACCTTAAAACCATCAAGGGTGCTTCATCCAAATTTTCTGATGGGAATATTAAAAAGAGTCGTCCCGCCACCAATA